GGTGGTGCACACCTTTAATCCCAGCACTCAGGAGCCAGAGGCAGGTGGATCTCTATGAGTTCAAGGCCAGCCTGGTCTACAGAGAGAGAGTTCTAGGACAGCCAGGGCTACACAGAGAAACACTGTCTCCAAAAACTAAAAAGAAAAAGAAAAAAGAAAACCAGGATTGGGATTTTTACTTATGAAAGGGGCCCCACGGACAGTCCTCTTTCCTTCAAGTATCAGACACAGCAGGACAGCGCCATCTATGAGCCAGGGGGTGGGTGGTTCTCACCAGACACCTCACTGCCGGAACCTGTATTTTGGAGTACCCAATCTCTAGGACTATGGGAGATAAACTGTGAGTTTAATTAAAACCTTGAGCCTTCTTGTCTATGGTATTTTGTTAGAGCAGTCTGAACAGGTCTCCAACAACAGCTCCCAACTTCTGAATGCTCCTTGCTTTGGCTGGGCAATTTCCCTTTGAGGAAATTGCTTCCGTTTTTTTGAAACAGGGTCTCATGTATCCCAGGCTGGTCTCCAATTGGACATGTAGTCAAAGATGACCTTAAACTTCTGCTCCTCCTGGCTTTGTGTGCCAACTCCTAGGACTGTAAATGTGTACCACCAGCCCTGGCTCTCTGGTGCGTCTTGTCTTTTAATGTTCTTATTTATACATTTATTTGCTTACACATTTATTTATGTGTTTGTTTATTTGGTGTGCGTGCATGGACACATGCACATGCGTGTGCATGCATATGGGTACGTATGTGCGCACCCTTGCCATGGTGTGTAGAGGGCTGAGGACAGCTTTCGTGTGTGGGTTCTCTCCTTTCACCACGTGGGACCTGAGACTGGACTCAAGTCATCCGACTTGACAGCAAGCTCCTTTGTTTGCTGAGCCCTCCTGCCAGCCCTCTGATGAGTTTTGAGGGAGGACACCTGTGACTCCTCGTACAGCAGCCGAGAACAGCAGCCTCTTACAGCCCAGGGGCAGCCTGGAGTCCCAGTATTAGGAGGCTGAGGCAGGAGGATTATGAGTTTGGGGTTTCATAGTGGGACTCTGTATGGCGGGAAAGAGGGAAGGAAAGAAGGAAGGAAGGAAAGAAGGAAGGAAAGAAGAGGGAGAAGAGGCAGTATGACTCTCTCCACTGGTCTGGGTTATGGTGACAGCGGCTATATTTTTCTCCTACTCTTCCCCTGTTATCTTTTTTCCAAGCTTTGCAGAAATTAAAAACAACAACAACAACAAAAAAAACCTGGTTCAATCAATTCAGCTTTGGCTCAAATCTTCCAGCACAAGGTCAATGGTGAGCAATTAAGATCCCTGCCCCCCACACCCGCCCATTGTTTTTTGGGGAGTCCCATGTACCTTGGCCTTTGGAACCACAGCCTCCTCCCTGTTTGCACCAGCCATGCTGGCCTGTCTGTGGGACACTTAGTCCTCAGTAAATTGGCGTGGTCCTCAAGGAGAGAGCCATCCTCTCTGCTCTCAGACAGTGAGTGGACTTAGCCCCAGGTCATCTCTAGCAGCCAAGACACTGGACAAATGGAAAGTGACATCTGTCTGGGCTTGGGTGATCAGTCCCATTACTGTTCAGAAACGCGATGACTGCTGGGCAGTGGTGGCGCAGGCCTTTAATCCAGCACTCGGGAGGCAGAGCCAGGTGGATCCCTGTGAGTTCGAGGCCAGCCTGGGCTACCGAGTGAGTTCCAGGAAAGGCACAAAGCTACACAGAGAAACCCTGTCTCGGGGGAAAAAAATGTGCTAACAGCGGATCTTAAG